TGAGAGGATGAGCTCTCCGGCAAGGAGACAAAAGGAGAAAAGCCTCTCCAGCTCTCTCTGGCTCCTCCAGGACTGACTGGGCTCTGTGCAGTGTCTCCTCTAAGTGCTACATCCCAGGCAAACAGCATATTTAATGACCTACAAGGGGATTTGTCTTAAAGAGGCCTCAGAGGCAACGTTTTCTAATTGAGGCCAAGACTTCAAGCGCAAAAAGTTTATAGTCTTTTCATGTTAAAATCCTACTATTTTGCTTCAAAAAATAACATATAACAAGAGCACAGCAGCAGTTCAACTACTTCTCTACCTTAAGCATTAAAGTCAAAACCTGACTCTTAAGGAGGAGTTTTAAAGTGAGAAGGAGGGAGGCTTCTCTCCTGTAAACAAGCAATTATACACACTCAGCGTGCAGAGCACCGCTGCACTGTCTGTCAACAGCTGCTTAAGGCTGTCACAGAAAGTGGATGTAAGAAGTGTCGGCCATAAAGCGTAAATCTCTGCCAGAGAGAGAGAGAGAGAGCGCAAGTGGAGTTTAGCATAAGCTGAAAATTAAGCTGGCAATATGGGACATCCAAATATCTCCAACTCTGGCTGCATCATTAGGCAGAAAGAAAGCCAGAAAGTGCTGCAAAGGCACAGTCATGAAGATGCAGCGCATCAACAGCTCTGTGGCATCCAGGTTTTGACAACATGTGTGCAGACAAACGACAGGAAGTGGCAGGCGGTGACACCGGGGAACATCTCGCACATGCGTGTTGGTGCATGTGTTTGCAGCAACATACAGATGTGGATATATCTACCCTTAAGAATTCATTATGCATGTGTCATGTCACAGACGGGGGAAGAGGAGCATCAGCGCTTCGTCCTTGTTACCTACCTCCTTGCTCGCAGAGCTGCTGGGCCAGCGCATCCTTGAAAATGATCTGTCCTCGATGTGTTGCTGTAGCTCTGGGAGGAAGGAAGAACGGGAGGGGAAGGGGAGAAAGACCATTAAAATAAACAGCACCAAGGGGAAAGTTAACTTCTTGTCCTTATTATACAGTCTGGAGACAGATCCAACACAGATGGCATCAGCTCGCTCTTTACCTAAATGCATTTGGGTGTCTTACTCACACAACAGGACATTTGATGAAAACCATATGATCTGACTTTGAAGACGAAATGACAAAATGTCTCACAAAGTCACACATTCTCTTCCAGCAAGTTTCCTTTAGACTAAATGTATACCTAGATCTACATGATCTCATTATGAACAGCAGAAAAGACTAAATCTAGAGGCAACAGGCTTGTTTAAGTCCATCTTTCATATTAATGAGCTGAGATTTAAGGTGTAAAATGTACAGTGGGCGATCAAATATCCTCCATCATCCTTCATTGCTAGCTCCCACACTGCATTCTCTGAAGCCTACATTAATCTAACTGCATGATTTGTGCTTTATGCACAGAATGTGATACGGACTTCCTTCTGCCGTGGAATACATTATTCATTTGAAAGCAGATAGATCAATCAGAAGAAGATGAAATGCTTCCTAATACAGCAGGATATTTTACACGGATCCTGGGACGCGCTCTTCTAAACTGAAGTCGATGTACTTTGCAAAAGGTGCAACTTAGACGTCTTTGTGACTGCAGCGAAGTAGTTCGTTTAGTTATAGGAGGAAGGAAAGCACTGTGCAAAAGTGCTACACATACAAAAGTGGTGCAACAATCTCCTCAGAAGTGCAGCAGTGGTGAAAAGTCAGGATGAGAAGAGGAAAAGCACAACAGCTGCGGTGTGTGTTCTCACTGACAAAAGCAGATGGATATTTTTAAATGCTGTTAGTAGAGTTGAATATTAATTATTAATATCTTCTCGTGAACCTCAGCAAACTCCTGCTAATGAAAACACTGAGTGTCATCAACATGGAGACACCAGCGGTGTGTGTTCCTCGCTCTGATCTCCGTGTTTCAAAAGGACGCCCCGACGTTACTCAGGATTTTATAAATATGTCAATCCGTGGTGATTTGATGGCAAGCTTGTGACACACATGCATTCAAAGATGCACTGCAGGGATGGTCTTGATGGCATAAATATACGTACATTTATACATGAAGTTACATGACTGCATTTTTTTCTCACTTCTAAAAAGTTTGGGAGAGTCCAGAAACTGTCCATGTTTTGGTCACATGAGAACTGCTGATGATCTTGGGGGTGTAGAAGGAAGTCCAAAGCTAGAGCAGCTATTTAATGATTTTGTTTTGTAACATAATGGCTATTTTTGTTTTTAATGCCATGAAAGTGAAAGCCGGAGTCTCACTCAGCTGCTACTGCAAGTGTCAAATTAAAGACAGCACTAAAGTTTGTAAAATGTCTCCAGATGTGACATCAGTTTGGTGGAATTTTGAAAATGCTTGAGAAGAAATGTCAAAATAAACTTAAAATAATCGCATCTTTGTTGAGTTTATCTGACACGCATCTGGAACCCTGATCAATTCATTCTGCAAAACAACAACAACAAAAAAAAACAAGAACACTTTGAGAGGCTCAGTTAGGAAAACCTCTGATGTTCCTAGAGCAGCATACTGAATTAAATCACTTTAAGATGAGAAACCCGAAGAGTTCATTTGCAGAAACAGGCAAATCTGTTCTTAATACAAAAGTATCTTTTCATTGTTTACTTCAGGTTACGCCAGTTTAGTTATTTAGATTTTTTTTGGCAAATAAACATTTCACTTTTATTAATTTTGTGAAGAAAAAATGTGTAAGATAGTAATTTTTTTTTTGCAATTTCCTTTGTTCAACTGGACACCCATGAAGCCAGTCAGACAATGACAGCCAGTGGAGTCATCTCCTGATATCAGCCTACAGTGCTGTTTTGTTTGGCACAAGCCATTATGATGGACAAAGTGATGACTTATGGATAAATAAGCATATTTTGTGTTTGATTGAATTTTGTTCTCACTTTTTCTAAATTCACCTTCATTAAAAAAGCAAATCAAGGCCCTTTAGTGGCCAGAGCCTCCACTGGTCCCCGGGTGGCCCAGGATCATGTTTGCTTATCTAGCTGGTGCTGGTAGTTTAATAGCTGTATGGGTGTGTGCTACTACTAGCATTAAAACCTGGACAGTTGCACGGTTTCAGGTTTAGAAATAGAAACTATGCTTGATGAATGGAGGAAATGGAGATTTGACCAGAAGTGTTGCAGGCATATAGAGATGATGTGAATCGATGGCATTTGGATCAAAAGTCTGTGGGTGTGTACGCCAGCATGGCCACACTCGGACAACTGATTTTCCCAAAAGAAGAATCTGTGGGTGGGAACGAAAATTCACTTTTCTTTTTTTTTTTTTGTCCCTAAACTCTCCAGCAGACTCACACCTTTCTGCGAGAGCCAAGGCGTTTACACGTTGGTCTCAGTTTATGAATAATGAACAGGCTGCTCATTAATTGATAAAGACCTCTTGAGCCTGAGCAGCGCTGGGGAGAAAACACACTTAATTACACTCATATTTCAGAATCGGTGGAAAAAACGCTGTAATTTGAGTTTGGTATTTATGAATAAAAGATGGTGCGTAACGAACAGCGGGCGGGGGGAAGGGGAACACGGCCCTGAACTGTTTACGCTGCTCAAGCTAACTTAACAGATTTGACTCTGTGGCACGGGATAAAGGGATCCATAAAAATACACACATTTTAGTTAAAGAAACACACACACACACACACACACACACGGATCTGTTACAGCACACCCTTAATAAAAAAGAAGCTGTGCAAATTTCGTAGCGAGGAAAGAAAATTCCAAGCTTTTGCTCGAGTAAAAGCTTTGCTGTGCAGCAGCTTCCCTTCAGCGTGTTTGTGTGCTAACAGCCTGTCTGCCATTAAAGCAGTAACCAGGAGAGGGCTTTTAGTCTGAGCCGAAGAGCGTTTGATCCGAGCAGCGTGACTCCAGCATCTGTCCGTCGTCACTCTCTACTGCTTCCAGTGTGTGTGTGTTTCATCACCGGCCACCCAAACACACAAAGAGCAGAATCTATTAAAGAGCTAAAAATGTGCCTTTTTTAGGGGTGTGGTGGGTGGAACAATTAAGAGTCTTAATAAGCTGCTGTTTTTCATCCATCCGCCTCCGATTCAGACTCATTCATCTCCTGAAAATAAGTGTCATCGTCAGCCTTCTCATTAATCTGGGGAAAAAAGATTGCAAAGAGCAAAAATCCTGAAGAAAAAAAACAGATAAAAGTGGGGAGAGGAGAGGAGGATAACTAGGAGCGGGGTTCGGATTGGGTCAGAGGAAATAGATTTAGGGGGCTTAATGGCCTTGTCTCTCAAATGTCTCACAATCTGCTGTCAAACAGCGGGGCGAGCGGGTGAGAGCAGACACACACTATCTAAGCCGTGTATCGTATGAGCTTTAACATGTATGCAGATGGACAGGCTGTCAGTCAGAGAGCTCCCGAAAGGGCCGCGAGTGGGTAATTACCAAGCATGTCATCCATGTTAGATTACATGTTGCTGTTGGCCATAAGTATCCCCCAGAAGTCTGCTTGACAACTCCCCGCTAACCACACACACACACACACACACACACACACACACACACACACACACACACACACACACACACACACACACACACGAGGTCAGACAGCTGATTTACCCTAAAGCCATACACATTATTAATACAACCACTGCTCCTCATTAACAACGGAGAAAACACAGAACTCCGACAGAAACAAATGATGAAAATGGCTTTCCCCTCCTCCAAACACCTCTCTACGCAGAGACACAAAAAGGCTTTCACTACCTTCCTCTAATCCCAGTTAAAGGCTGCTTTTCTCTTCCAGCTCACTAGGTCTGTTTGGTAATCATGATGAATATGAGTTTCATAGCAGCACTGTTCTGAATGCCAGCACTGATTTGTAACTGAACCTGGCCCTTAAAATAATTCACCCTAATTGGTTGATTTATCTTCCATGTGGGGGACCAGCTTAGTTTCAGCTCTGCAGACCAGGACAAAGGAGAAGCTAAAGGAGGTAGATCTCTCTCTCTCTCTCTCTCTCTCTCTCTCTCTCTCTCTCTCTCTCTCTCTCTCTCTGAAAAAACAAACAGATGAAAAGCAAAGGTATGTAGGTGCGATTCTGTGATCTGCACCATCTCCTCCCTGACCTCCTTTCAGAGGAGAATCCATTAATTGAAAAGGGCTCTTAGAAAACATGCAGATTTTAAGAAGCCCCACAGATGAGGCATTTGGGAGTTGTTTGGCAAATGACCTGCTTGTTAGGGTCGTTGAGAGTTATACGGCTCTGAATGCAGCCTTGCGAAAGAGCAGTTGACCGTGACTGCTATTTGCATGCAATAATGCTGGAGATTAGGAAAACAACGGTAGATGATTTAAGAAATTAGATCTGTTTCACAGTGAGAAGGGGTGCTTAAAGAGCAAGTCACCCCCAAACAAACTTTTTTTTTGCTGATAAACTAAATAAACGAGTGTCTAATCGTGCTGCAGACACGTGTAGTCAATAATTTGGCACTTCAGTGCATCTTAGTTAAAATTTAAATATTCTGCCTAAAACTGGCAGTGTTGTGCCGTTGTCAGGTAAAAACTCTGCACTGTATTTTAATTTAAATCTGCCACCGCTATTGGCTAAGAGGTATGCTATGATGTAAACTGGTGCATTATGATGTCACAATGCTGTCGTGAGCCTGTGTGTGTGTGTGTGTGTGTGTGTGTGTGTGTGTGTGTGTGTGTGTGTGTGTGTGTATTTGTTAGCGGCTCCGCCCTCTTGGTCTGCTAGGCAACAGCATTTGTTGCATTTTTCAAACAGGAAGTGGGAGTTGAGTAAGAATCTGGTAGGGGGTGACTTGCTCTTTAACATTAAACTGAATAACTGGAGTAAATAAAATGCAAGAAACCACCACGTCCCCGTCTCACCAAGGGTCAGACTGGGACAGAAAAGAGATGATTTTATTC